TATTAATTTTCCCTCAAAACTTACTCAATTTTCCCAGAAAAATATCCATTTTCCCCACAAAAATAACCTGATTTCCCCAAAAATCTCCTTTTTCTCCCCAGTCCCTGTTTTTCCCCCTAAACCCCCATCCTCTCCCCCAGAATTCCCCTTTATTCTCCTAAAATTCCCATTTTTTCCCCCTTTAATTCTTTTTTTTTTTCCCCTTGATTCCCGGGAATTAGCTCAAGAAAACAGGGATTTGTGAGGGGCTCAATGGGAATTCATGGGAAAAAAACCCAGAGATTTTTAAAGGAATTATGAATATTTTGAGGAAAATAAATTTTGAGGAATTTTTGAATTAATAACATGGCTTTTTTGGGGGGGAAATCGGGATTTAACAGAAAAAACAGGGATTTTTTTCCCCTCAGAATTCCCATTTTCTCCTGGCACTCACAAGGCGGAGCCAGTCCTGCTGCAGACAACCCCAAATTTCATTTTTTTTCCTTCAAAATTCCGATTTCACCCCTCGAATTCCCCAATTCCGCCCAGAAATACCAATTTTCCCCCCAGAATTCCCGTTTTTCCCTCAGAATTCCCCACTTTCCCCTCAGAATTCCCCATTTTCCCCCTCAGAATTCCATATTTTCCCCTCAGAATTCCACATTTTTCCCCTCAGAATTCCCGTTTTTCCCCTCAGAATTCCCCATTTTCCCTCTCAGAATTCCCATTTTCCCCTCAGAATTCCCGTTTTTCCCTCAGAATTCCCCGTTTTTCCCCTCAGAATTCCCCATTTTCCCCTCAGAATTCCCATTTTTCCCTCAGAATTCCCGTTTTCCGCTCAGTCACGAGGCGGGCCGGTCCTGCCTCAGACCAATGGAATCCCCATTTCCTACCCAAAATCCCCTTTTTCCCCCTCAGAATTCCCATTTTCCCCCTCAGAATTCCCATTTTTCCCCTCAGAATTCCTGTTTTTCCCTCAGAATTCCCGTTTTTCCCTCAGAATTCCCCATTTTCCCCTCAGAATTCCCCGTTTTTCCCCTCAGAATTCCCGTTTTCCGCTCACTCACGAGGCGGGCCGGTCCTGCCTCAGACCAATGGAATCCCCATTTCCCACCCCAAATCCCCCTTTTTCCCCCCAAAATTCCCCATTTTTCCCTCAGAATTCCCATTTTCCCCTCAGAATTCCCATTTTCCCCCTCAGAATTCCCATTTTTCCCTCAGAATTCCCCATTTTTCCCTCAGAATTCCCGTTTTCCGCTCACTCACGAGGTGGGCCGGTCCTGCCTCAGACCAATGGAATCCCCATTTCCTACCCAAAATCCCCTTTTTCCCCCTCAGAATTCCCATTTTCCCCTCAGATTTCCCGTTTTCCCCCTCAGAATTCCCATTTTTCCCTCAGAATTCCCGTTTTCCGCTCACTCACGAGGTGGGCCGGTCCTGCCTCAGACCAATAGAATCCCCATTTCCTACCCAAAATCCCCTTTTTCCCCCTCAGAATTCCCATTTTCCCCCTCAGAATTCCCGTTTTTCCCTCAGAATTCCCCGTTTTTCCCTCAGAATTCCCCATTTTTCCCTCAGAATTCCCATTTTTCCGCTCACTCACGAGGCGGGCCGGTCCTGCCGCAGGTCGATGGTGAACACCACGGCGTCCTCCCCCGCAGACAGGAACGTGCAGGGCGAGTCCGGCTCCAGCGCCAGCTGGGGGGAAAAAAAAAAAAAAGGGAAAAAAACCCAGCAGGAATAGCTCCCAAAAATCCCCCAAAATCAGGAAAATCCACCCGGAAAAACGCCAGGTTTGAGGATTCCTGCTCTGAACTGCAGTGATGTCATCCGGGTGATGTCATCAGGAATGACATCATCGGGAGTGACGTCATGGGGACAAGAGCACAGCCAAGGGTTTGAAGAGCACCCAAAAAGTGGGAAAATCCCCAAATCCTGGGATTTGCCATTCCCAGGATTGGCCATTCCCAAATCCCTCTCACCTTGTGGGAGGCTCCCTGGTGCTGGGCTCGGTGCTGTGACAGCTCTGTCACCTCTGTGGTGACATCCCCACTCCTCCCACCATTCCCACACCATTCCCTCATTCCCAAGGACCCCAACTCCTGGGATTTGGCATTCTCAGGATTTGCTATTCCCAGAATTTGCCATTCCCACGTTTTAACATTCCCAAATCTCTCTCACCTTGTGGAAGTCTCCCTCATGCTGGGCTTAGTGCTGTCACCTCTGTGGTGACATCCCCAATCCTCCCCTGCTCCCACACCATTCCCACACTGCTCCCCCATTCCCAGCCACCCCAAATCCCGGGATCTGCCATTCCCAAACCCCTCTGACCTTGTGCGAGGCTCCCTTGTGCTGTGCCACACGCTTGGTGCTGCGGCAGCACTGGGTGGCCGAGAGCTCGGCCACGCGCACTTGCCCGTCCCGGGCACACATGGCCAGCGTGGAGTCACCACTGTTGGGCAGGAACTTGGCCTGGAAAACACGGAAAACAGGGAAAAGGTGGGAAAAAGGGGGAATCGCAGAGGAGGAATGGGGTGGGAGGTGGGGAAGGGAAAGGGATGAGGTGGGAATTGTCCCAGGTGTTCTGGGAATTGTCACTTGGGAATCATCCCAAACTTTCCCTTGGGAGCCCTCCCAAAATCTCTCAGGAATCATCCCGAGCTCTCTCCCCCAGGAATCATCCCAAAATCTCCCAGGAATTCTCCCAAAATCTCCCAGGAATCATCCTGAGCTTCCCTCTGGGAATCAGCCCAGCTGTCCTGGGAATCATCCCAGTTCTCTTGGGAATTATCCCAAAATCTCTCAGCAATCACCCCAAACTCTACTGGAGATCATCTCAAACTCTCCCAGGAATCACCTGAGTCCTTATCCCAAACTCTCCTGGAAATCATCCCACATTTTCCCAGGAATCATCTCAAACCTTCCCAGAAATCACCTGAGTCCTTATCCCAAACTCTCTTGGGAATCCTCCCCAAATCTCCCAGGAATCATTCCAGATGGGAATCATCCCAGTTCCCTTGGGAATCTCGGGAATCATCCTGAGCTCCCCCAGGAATCATCCCCAACTTTCTCCCAGCTTTTCTGGGAATCACCCTGGCAATTATCCCAAGCTCTCCCACAAAAGCATCCCCAGAGCTCCTGGGAATCATCCCAAACTCTCCCAGGTGTCCCAGCACTTTATCCCAAAATTCTCCCAGGAATCCCTCCAGGCCCAGCCCAGTTGAATCTCCAGAACAGGGAATTCCAGGGCAAACCTGTGGGATTTGGGGATCAATCTGTGGGATTTGAGGATCAGTCTCTGGGATTTGGGGCCTGTTCCCACATTTTTCCCTGAGCACCCCTGGCTCATGTGAAGTTTTCCCAAAATTTGTCTCCATGTCCAAACGTGGACTTCAGGACTGAGAATTTTGTTGCAAATCTGTGGGATTTGGGGGCCAATTCCCACCTAAACTGTTCCCACATCCCTTCACTCCAATGACACCTTTCCCAATATTTCCCTTTCCCAGCTGAGCTGTTCCTGAGATCCTTTCTACCCCAAAAAGACCCTGGAGATGATGGATTTTAGGGCACATCAGTGGGATTTGGGGGTCGATCTGTGGGATTTGGGGATCTGCTCCCAGATCCTTTCCCAAGCATTCCCTGCCTCAGGTGACATTTCCTGGGATCCTGTCCCACCCCAAACAGAGCCCCTCAGTCTGACAGTTTAGGGCACGCCTGTGAACTTTGGGAAATCAATTTTTTGTGATTCCAGCTCTCAACCCCACCCATCCCATCCCTCCCTTCGCCATTCCCACACCATTCCCACCCCATCCCCATACCATTCTTACACCATTCCCTGGATTCCCACCCCATTCCCCACTCCATCCTCACTCCATCCCCACATCACTCCCTGGATTCCTACCCCATTTCCCACACCATCCCCACACCATCTCCTGGATTCCCGTATCATGCTCACACCATTCCCTGGATTCCTACACCATTCTCCACACCATCCCCACACCATTCCTACACCATTCCCTGGATTCCTACACCATTCCCCACTCCATCCCCACACCATTCCCTGGATTCCCATATCATGCTCACACCATTCCCTGGATTCCCACCCCATTCCCCACTCCATCCCCACACCATTCCCTGAATTCCCATATCATGCTCACACCATTCCCTGGATTCCTACCCCATTCCCCACACCATCCTCACCCCATTCCCTGGATCCCCACACCATTCCCCGGACTCCCCTATCATGCCCACACCATTCCCACACCATTTCCTGGATCCCCACACCATTCCCCGGACTCCCCTATCATGCCCACACCATTCCCACACCATTCCCTGGATTCCCACACCATTCCCCGGACTCCCCTATCATGCCCACACCACTCCCAGGCCGTTCCCCCCCAACCTGGAAGACGTTGCTCTTGTGGCCGCTGTCGAACTGCAGCACGGGCCGGCGCCTCAGCCAGTCCCACACGAGCACCTTGAGGTCGTCGCTGCCGCTGGCCAGGCGGGTGCCGCGCTGGTTGAAGTGCAGCGTGTTCACGCAGCCCGTGTGTCCCTCCAGGCCGTGCTGCAGCCGGAACTTCTGCACGAAGAGCCGAGCCCCGCACGCCTGAGCCACGAAGCGGGAGCAGCCGCCCAGCTGGCGCTGCCGCAGCGCCGGGATCGCCCTCCAGCGCGGCCGGGGCAGCGCCCACGTCTCCGAGGCCACCCAGTCCTCCAGCGCCTGCTCCTCGTCCGACGAGTCGCGTTCGTGCGGCGGCCGCTTGCGGGGGGCCCTGCGCCGGGCTCGCGGCTCCTCCTCGTCCTCCTCCTCGTCCTCGTCGTCCTCGTCGTGCCGCGGCTCCTCGGGGATGGAGTAGTGGCCCGTGTCGTCCATGCTGTCGCTGTCCTTGTCGCCGGAGCTGTCGCTGTCGCTGGCGCGGCCCCGCGCGGCCCCGGCGTCGTCGCCCGTCAGGCTCAGGCTCAGGTCGGACGCCTCCACCTCGATGCCCGAGGACGTCTCGCGGCCCTCCTCGGCTGACATGTCCTCGGGGCTGCTGGACAGGCTGCCTGGGGACAGGGGACGCGACAGTGTCACCACGGGGACACCAGTGTCACCTGTGTCACCTGTGTCATCTGCGTCACACTGCTGGACAGGCTGCCTGGGGACAGGGACACTGCAGTGTCACCAGTGTCACTAATGTCACCTATGTCACCAGTCACACTGCTGGACAGGCTGCCTGGGGACAGGGGACGCGACAGTGTCACCACGGGGACACCAGTGTCACCAGTGTCACCTGTGTCACCAGAGTCACCAGTGTCACCAGTGTCATACTGCTGGACAGGCTGCCTCGGGACAGGGGGACATGACAGTGTCACCATGGTGACATGATAGTGCCACCAGTGTCACCTGTGTCACACTGCTGGACAGGCTCCCTGAGGACATCTGATTGTCACCACAGTGACATCAGTGTCACCAGTGTCACATTCCTGGACAGGCTGCCTGGGGACAGGGACATTGCAGTGCCACCAGTGTCACTGCACAGCTGGACAGCCTCTGGCTGCCCCCAGGTGTCCCCAAATGTCCCCAGGTGTCCCCTCACCGTTGACGATGTCTGTCCTGCCGTCCATGCTGCCACCTCTGTCCGACATCGCCGCTTCCCACGGGAATCCCTGCGGGGACAGGGGGACACAGGGACAGTGTGACAGGGGGACAGTGTGACAGGGGGACAGGGGGACATGGGGACAGTGTGACAGGGGGACATGGGCACAGTGTGACAGGGGGACAGGGGGACACGGGGCTGGAGTGACTCAGCCATGGCCACCACACTGGCGGTCCCAAAATCCCCATTTTCCATGGAAAAACCACCTGGGAACGCTGCACAACACCCAGCCCCTGCTCAGCATCCCAAGAAAAGCCAATCACGAGGAATTTGGAACCCTCAGGGATCCATTTTGGAACATTCCCACCAAAAAAATTCCCATTTTCCCACCTGCCACACAGCCCCACAGGGTCGAGTTCGTTCCCAAAAATTCCCATTTTCCTATGGAAAAACCACCTGGGAATGCTCCAGGACACCCAGCCCGAGGGATTTGTGATTCTAAAGATCCATTTTTAAACACATTCCCACACAAAATTCCCTCTGGAATCTCTCCAGCTTCCCCCAAAAAAACCCCATTCCCACGGAAACGGGCAGGAGCAGAGCCCTGGGATTCTGCTGGAATTCCATGGAATACCCCGAGGTGAGGGATCGGGAACGAAGCTCCCAAAGGTCAGGAATCCATCCTGGATCCAGAGGGGGGGTGGGAAATTCGCCGGGAATGGCCAGGAATGAAACCAAAATCCCGGGATTCCGCAGCTGCCTGGCTGCACATCTGGACAGGCTCAGCATTCCCAGCCTGACACTGCAGCTCCCAAAAATATCCCGGGGCATTCCAGAGCCTCTGGAATTGGGATCCGCCTCCCTGCTTGGGTTTATCCCTCCAAACTGGGATAAAGCAGGATAAAATTCCCAGGGGATGGTTCTGTCCATCCCTCACAGCCCGAATTCCTCATGGGATCGGTTCCAGCTAATCCCGGGATTTAGGTGCTCCCAAAAAATGCAACCCTGGAACCCCAGGATTCAGGGGTGGAGACCCCAAATCCTCAGGGATTGAACTCTGAAATCCTGAGGGACAGAACCCCCAAATCCTCTGGGATGGATCCTCCAAATCCTCAAGAACCGAATCCCCAAATTCCTCAGAATGGATCCCCCAAATCCTCAGGGATGGAATCCCCAAATCTTCAAGGACAGAACTGCCAAATCCTCAGGAATAAAGATCCCAAATCCTTTGGGATGGAGCCCCCAAATCTCTCAAGGATGGAACCCCAAATCCTCAGGGATAGAACCCCCAAATCCTCAGGGATAAAGCTCATAAATCCTTTGGGATGGAGCCCCCAAATCCCTTGGGATGGAGCCCCAGGAGCATTCCCAGGTCTCTAGGAGCGTTCCCAGGAGTTTCCCAAAGCCAAGGGAATCCTGGAGAAATCCCAAAAATCCCCAAAATTCCCCCAAAATCCCGCGGGATCCGGGCGGACTCACCTGTGCCAGGTGCCGGGGACAGCGGGGCTGGAGCTGGGGGGGAGCGCGGGGTCAAAGCCCAGGGACCCCAAATTTGGGGACCCCCCAGTCCCTGGGGACCCCCCCAATCCCTGGGAAAACCCCCTGGATTTTTGGGAATTCCCCTGATCCCAAGGAAATCCCCTCCCCCCCGAGTTTTGGGAATCCCTCCAATTCCTAAAGAACTCAAATCTTTGGGGACCCCTCCCAGGGAATCCCCAAGAATCCCCTCAATCCCTGGAAAATCCCCAAATTTTCAGGAGCTTCCCAATCCTGAGAAACCCCCAGAGATTCCTGGGAATCCCCTGAGCCTTGGGAATTCCCAATTTTTGGGGATCCCCCTGATCCCTGGGCCCCTCCTCCTCAATTCCTGGATATTCCCGATTTTTGGGGACCCTTCCCTCTCCCCCCAATCTCTGGAGACCCCAAATTTTGGGGGAACCCCCCCAATCCTGCAAAAATTCCCTCCATCTCTGGGGACCCCAAACTTTTGGGCATTCCTAATTTTTGGGAAACCCCTGATCCCTGGGAATTCCCCTCAATTCCTGGGAATTCCCAGTTTTTGGGGACCTTCTAATCCCTGTGGACATCCCAAAATCTCAGGGATCCCCCCAAAAATTATGGAGCCCCCCCAAAACTCCAGAACCCTTCACAGACCCCCCTTCCCCCAATCTCAGGGGGCCCCGAAAAAAATCTCCAGGACCCCCCCCAAAAAATCCAGAGACCCCAAAAATCTCAGGGACCGCCCAAGGGCCCCCCAAAGTCTCAGGGACGCCCCCCAAAAACTTCAGTACCGCCCCTAAGGGACCCCTCCAAGGCTCAGACACCCACAGGAATCACCAAAGACCCCCCAGAATCCCCCCAAAACCCCCAAGGAATCCCAAAAATCCCATCAAAACACCCAAGGACTTCCCCCAAAAATCTCAGGGCTCCTCCAGGACGCCCTAAAATCCTCCAAAATCCCCTCAAAAGCCTCAACGGCCCTCCTAGGACCCCCCAAAACCCCCCCAGGACCCCCCAAAATCCCCCAGGACTTCCCGAGACCCTCCAAGGACCCCCCAAAATCCTCAAGGGCTCCCCCAAACCCCTCTTGGGCTCCCTCTGAGGCTCCTCCAGAACCCCCCCGAACACTCGGGGACCCCCCAAATCTTCCCACCCACCCCACCCGTCTCCCCGGGGCCGCCCCCGCCCCGCCGCCGGGCAAGGCCCGAGCCCGCGGGGGCCGCGTCCGGACCGGGGGCAGCGGAGGCCGCGCACCGACCCGAATGTCCCGGAGACTCCCGGCGGGTCCCGGGCGGTGCCGGGGGGTGCGGCCGGGCTCAGTTTTGGCCGCCGCGGGTCCCCCCGGCCGCTCCAGCGCCGGTCCCGGTACCGGGCCCCGCCGCCGCCATCTTTAACGCGCCGCCCCCGCCGGCTCGCTTGACGGCACCGGCCGACGGTTTTGCGACACCACGGGCGCCGCTTTACGACAGCGGCCGTTGCGCGATAGCGACGGGGGCGCTCCCCCCACCCCCGGCGTTGCCATGGGAACGGCGCCCCCCCCCACTCCCGTGGTGTTATGGGGTCATCCTTGTTTAGGGTCACCTCTGTTTAGGGTCACTGCATGCCCCCCGTGTTATTATAGGGTCACCCGTGTTCAGGGTCACTGCAGGGTCACCTCCGTGCTCCTGTGGGGTCGCTTTGTGTCCTCCTGGGGTGTTGTGGGGTCACCCCTGTTTGGGGTCGCCCTCGTTTGGGGTCACTCTGTCCTCCCCCTGTGTTGTTGTAGTGTCAGTCTGTGTCCCCCTGTGGTGTTGTAGGGTCATCCCTGTTTAGGGTCACTTCATTTTCCCCCCCCAGTGTTGCTGTGGGGTCGCTTTGTGTCTCCAATGTTGCTGTAGATCACCTCTGTTTAGGGTCACTATTGTCCCCCTCCCCGCCCCCAGTGCTCTTATAGGATCATTCCAAGACCCTCAGCGTTATTGTGGGGTCACCCCTGATTAGGATCACTACAGGGTCACCCCCGTGTTACTGTGGGGTCGCTTTGTGTCCCTGTGTTATTGTAGGGTCACCTCTGCCTAGGGTCACTGTAGGGCTCACCCCAGTGTTACTGTAGGATCACTTTGTGTCTCCAACATTGTTGTAGGGTCACCCCTATTCAGGGTCCCCTCTTCCCCCCAATGTCCCTAAAAGGTCACCCCGTTTCTGTAGGGTCCCCTGTAGTCCCATGTCCCTATAGGGTCCCTCTGTACCCCAATGTCCCTTTAGGGTGACCCTGTTTCTGTAGGGTCCTCTGTAGCCCAGTGTGTCCCTGTAGTGTCCCCCTGTACCCCAGTGTCCCTATAGGGTCACCCTCTACCCAATGTCCCCATAGGGTCACTCTGCCCCCCAATGACCCTATAGGGTCACCCCGGTTCTGTAAGGTCCCCTGTACCCCACAGTGTCCCTATAGGGTCACTCTGCACCCCAGTGTCCCTATAGGGTCACCCCGTTTCTGTAAGGTCCCCTGTACCCCACAGTGTCCCTATAGGGTCACTCTGCACCCCAGTGTCCCTATAGGGTCACCCTATTTCTGTAGGGTCCCCTGTACCCCACAGTGTCCCTATAGGGTCACCCTGTTTCTGTAGGGTCCCATCCCCATTCCCAGGCGAAGCCGCTCCCGTCACCAACTCTTTATTGGGGACACCGGGCGGGGGGTGAGGGGGGGACACCTGCCCCCCCACCCCCCAAAAAACCCCCCAAAAATGTGGGGGGAGGTCTCAACCCCCCCCGGGCTCCTCTTCATCCTCGTTTAGGGTCGGACGAGGCGGGGGGGGGGCGTGGGGATCCCAAAATTCCCCTACATGAGGCGGCACTGCTCCCCAGTGACCCCCCCCGGCAGGTCCAGGTTGAATCCGGGGGGCTGTGGGGGGGCACGGCAGGGTCACCCCAAATCTTTTGGGGTCACCCCAAATGTATGGGGTTACCCCAAATCTTTCAGAGTCATCCCAATTCTTATGGGGTCAATCCAAATGTATGGAGTCACCCTAAATCTATGGGATCACCCTAAATCTTATGAGGTCACCCCAAATCGTTTGGGATTGCCCCAACCCTATGGGATCACCCTATATCTTATGGGGTCACCCCAAATCTATGGGATCACCCTAAATCTTTTGGAGTCATCCCAATTCTTATGGGATCACCCCAAATCCATAAGGTCACCCCAAATCTTTTGAGGTTATCCCAAATCTCTGGGATCACCCAATTCTATGAGTTCACCCCAGATCTTTTGAGATCACCCCAATTCTATGGGGCCACCCCAAATCTGCTGAGGTCACCCCCAATCTATGGGATCACCCCAATTCTTATGGGATCACCCCTAATCTACAGGGTCACCCCCAAACAGTTCGGCTGACCCCAAATCCTTTTATAGGGGGGCATCCCCAAACACTCACCGTGTCCCCTGCCAGCTCCTTGGGGGGGTGGCCCAGGTCCTGCAGCTGCGAGGGGACAGAAGGAGGGGGACACAGGGACAGGAGGACACAGGGACACGGAGAGGGGACACGGAGGGGGTCAGGGCGGGGCCGGGCGGTTTTGGGGTCGCCCCGGCCCCCCCGTACCTGCTGCATCAGGTCCAGCAGGGTCTCGAAGCGCTCCCGGCGCTGCCCCTCGGGCTCCTCCGGCTGCTCCCGCTCCAGCTCCGCGCAGATCCGGAGCATCAGCGCCTGCTGCGCCCGGAACCGCTCCCGCTGCTCCGGGGACAGCGAGTCCTCGTGCTGCCGGAGCCACTCCGGGTACTGGGGACAGCGAGGGGACACTCAGGGGACACCATGGGAACCGCCGCGGGACCCCCAATGGGACCCCCAAATCCCGGAGAAAATGGGGAAATGTCCCAGTACAGTCCTGGGAGTGACAGGGACAGACCCTGGGGACGACGAGGACCCTCAGGTTTTTGGGGAGCTTCTCCCCATTTCAGGGATGACCCCTCCCCAGGGTTTTGGGGGCCCCCTCTCATTTTCTGGAGTCCCCTCCCCATTTTTTGGGGTCCCACCTTCTCAGTGATCTCCTTGAGGGAGGGACAGAGCACGTCCTTGGACAACAAGGACCCCATGATGCCCCCACAAGTCTCCAGAGTTTCCCACACCCCAAAGGACCTCTCCAGGATTTCAGGGACCCTCCCCAGGGTTTTGGGGACCCCTGCTGTTTTTTTGGGGTCCCCTCCCTATCTTTTGGGGCCCCCATCTTCTGTGTGACCTCCTCGAGGGAGGGATAGAGGACATGGAAGTCAGGGACTGCACGATGTCCCCACAACCCCTACACATTTCCCATGCCCCAAGGGACAAGCCCCCAGGTTTCTGGAGACACCCCCAAGGTTCTTGGAGATCCTCCAGGTTTTTTCGGGGTGCCCTCCTGGCTTTTTGGGGTCCCACCTTCTCAGTGATCTCCTTGAGGGAGGGGTAGAGCACATCCTTGGACAGCAGGGACTCCATGATGCTGCGCATGACGGGCAGGACGCCGTCCCCGCCGCCCTCCTCCAGCCCCAGCCCCTCCAGGGCCTTCGCCAGCTCCTCCTCCGAGCCCGGGGAATTCTGTGGGACCCCCGGGACCCCAGTGAACCCCCTGGGATGCCGGGAGAGCCCCCCAGGATCCCGGGGAGGGTTGGGAATACCTGGAGGTCATTGGCGTTCTTGGCCAGCCCGCTCAGGGTTTCCTTGAGGCAGGAGGTGAATTCCTGCTGCGAGGCCGAGTCAGTGCCTGCGGGGTTGGGAATGGGGATAATGGGAATAATGGGACTGGGGATACTGGGACTAACGGGGGGTCCCCCCGGGGTGTTGTCCCTGATCCCAAATGGGGAGGACAATTCTAAATGGGATTGGGAATGGGGGGACACTGGAGAGCCCAACAGGGTCTTGTCTTGGAGATCCCAATCCCAAACGAGGACCCCCCCAGGAGTGGGAATGGGGGTAATGGGAATAATGGGGGGTTCTGCTGGGTTCCCAGGAAGACTCTCAGCACCCCACAGCACCCAGAGGTGTCCCCAGCCCCCAGCCA